GCAATGAATTCCCAAAACCTACTTTGGAAAAATAGCACAAATTAATTTTCTTTCAGTTTTATGGGGTAGAATCAATATAACCCTTAGGCTAATTTTAGGTGTCTGCAGGGCTGTATTTCATTTGGGGGCGCTGCAGGAAATTCAGTTCCTTCGCTTTTCTAATTTCTAGAAGCTGCCCTTGATTGTCAGACCCTTTTTCTCCAGTTAAAAGTGAGCCCGATGCATCCCTTTGACTATTCTTCCTTTGACTTTTCTCCTGCTATCCCTTTTTTCTTTAAGGAGTGATTTGTATTTGACTCACCCAGATAATCTAGGAAAATTTGATCTATTTTTAAGGTCTATTGAGTGGCAACCAGATTTATGTTTGTAACACTTATTTCCCCTTTGCTTTGTAATGTATCATTTCCAAGAGACATTTTCAGAGATTATTTATCAGGAAAATTATGTTATTTCTCTGAAGTTCCTATATTTACCCTAGTAGAATTCTTAAAATTTCACCTTTTAGGGGCCTTGAGCAATAGGCAAGTGGATAGGCACTTGCTTTGCTTGTAGCTGACCTGGGTTCAATCCCCAGAAACCCATATCTTTCCCCTAGTTTTCAGGATCCCTGAACACAGAGCCAGGAGTAAGCATTGAGCATTGCCAGATATGGCCCCCAAATAAAAATTCATATTTTATTTAAAGATTATCCCAAATTAGCCTTAGGTCTAATTATAAAGTATAAAATGTTTAAAAGTTTCTGCAAAACCCCCCCAAAAATGTATGACCTGGGTTAGATGCAGTTACTAAAAATTATACCAAAAATATGATCCATAGCAGAAATGGTTGTCTTTAATCAAATTAAAATCTTTATTGAAAATAAGAGAATGAAGAGTCAAACGACAGAATTTGCAAAATATTTGTAAATCACGTATCAAAAGACTTTTATCCAGGGTGTATATAGAATTCTTAAAATTCATCACCTATGTAAACAGCTCAAGCAAAACATGCCTAAGGGACTTGAGCAGAGAGACATCTAACCAAGAGGGATTGAATGTTGGTTGGATGCACATGCACTGTAGCACTGTCCTCCCGTTGTTCATTGATTTGTTCAAGCAAGCCACAGTAAAATCTCCATTGTGAGACTTGGTACTGTTTTTGGCATATTTAATATGCCATAAGGAGCTCGCCAGGCTCTGCTGTGTGGGTGGGATACTGTCGGTAGCTTGCCGGGCTCTCTGAGAGGGATGGAGGAATTGGACCCTGGTAGGCCTCGTGCAAGGCAAATGCCCTACCCGCTGTGCTATCGCCCGAGCTCATAAAGACATGAAAATATTCATCATAACTGGCATCATGATGCTGATGCATGTATTATTATAGGTAAATAAAAGAAGCTTAAAGTCCTGGTAAAGATGTCGAACTTGAAATTTAATGCATAATTAGAAAGCAGAGTATTAAAGAAACTCTTCAATGGTTTGTTTCTTATGAAGGTAAACATGTACGCTCACTAAATAGACCCCTTCCTGCGTGTTTAACCTAGGATGTATCTTATATGCACACACACAAAAAAACTTGCACTAGTGGCCTGTTGCAGCTTTATTTATAGTCGTTAAATCTGGAAAGACCACAATGTCCTAGAATGAGTAAATGGATACAAAAACTGGTACAATGGAATACTAAGCAGCAGTAGAAAAGAATAGATTACTGATCTATTTGTGACTTAGATTACTTCTAAATGTATTTTGCTGCCTGTAATAAGCCAGACAGGGCAGGGCCTTTGATGCACACAGGACTGTCCCGCACCCAATACCCATATGCCATATGGTTCCCCAAGTCCACCAGGAGTGATTCCTGAGCAGAGAGCTATGAGTAAGCCCTGAACACTACGAGGTGTGGCCCCAAAACCAAAGGGAACAAAATAATGAAGCTAATTTCAAAAAGTTTATTATACTGTTAGTCCATTTACACAAATTCTTAATTGAACCATAATAGAGAATATATAATCATTTGAGAGTTTTAACTGGAAGAAGGATGTGATTCCAATGGATAGTACAAGGGAGGTTTTTTCTCTTTGTTTTGTTTTTTTAAATTTGTGAAAAAAGCTTTATTTGTGCCCTAGTGTATTGTTTTTTTTTAAACCCAAATTCATGTTTTGCTATTTGTGAACTATATGCCAAAATAAAAACATGGTAGTTAAAAGAAATTAGTGGTGCTTTGTATTTGTCAGATTTAGACATTATTCAGTTAATTACAGATGAAAGAAAATGTTGAATGGAGCAGTGATTCCTTCGATAATGATTTATCTAAAGGTAAAGGTAAAGGTAAAGGCCCTCCCGTTGATCGTCGATTTGCTCGAGCGGGCCCAGTAACGTCTCCATTGGAGACTTTGTTGTTACTGTGTCTGGCATATCGAATACTCTTGGTAGCTTGCCGGGCTCTCCGAGAGGGGCGGAGGAATCGAACTCGGGTTGGCCATGTTGGCCGCTTGTAAGGTGAACGCCCTACCACTGTGCTATCGCTCCAACCCTATGTTCCATTTTTTTGAATGGAAGATTGTTTTCAGAGGCCAAGGATGTTGCATGAAAATTCTGTTAACATTAGCTCAGTCAAGATTTTAATTCCACTGAGTCTTGTGGGAACCCTCTGGAAGCTGGAGGATTTCTAGATTAGAAAGGTTTTCTTTGTCATATTCTTAGCTGTTGGTAGTGCCGGTGCTCTCCCAATTAAAACAGGTGCGTGTTGATCTTGGCCCCCAACTGGTTGCAGGCCTTGCCAGTTTCAGAAGGTGCTGCCACGACAAACAGAACAGAAAGTCTTTCCCACGGTAGCCAGTCTCTGTTACACGACTTCTTTTCTTCAATAAGATTGTCTCTAATCTGTATGAACGACCAATTTCTAAGCTAGTAAAGAAAATTTATAGATTCTTTTTTACCCTTCTCTCTTTGTCTGGATCCTTACAATAAGGTCTAGTAGTATCTCTGTTAAAACCCTTCTCAGAGTTTGATACTGAAGAAACAGAACTTCTATAAAAAGAAATAGGGAAAACTGTCTAAGACAGACGATAAGATTCATTTTTCCATTCTGTACTCTCCCTTATCAATTTCATTATTCACCATCTTTCAGTTGTCACCTGCATGTATTACTCCCACACTTCAAATCTCCTATCTCCTAGATATTCAGCGATATATCAGACATATCTGCTTGAAGGCACAGCAGGCATGTCAGAATTTCTATCCGGTTCTAACACTGTCAGAATTTCTATCCGGTTCTAACACTGTGTGTCCACTCTATCATTTCCTCCTAGATTCGGTCTTATTTTTCACATTTTCATTTCTATGAGTAGGAATCATACATCCGGTTCTCAAGGCAGGAACCAGGCCATCCATGACTCTTCCTTCTCTTTAGCTCTGTGGCCCCTAACTTCCTCAGTATGTTTCCTAAAGTGCTTTTTCTTTGTTCTGTCTGACACTGATTACCGTCAGGCCACAGTCCTAGGGATTGTGCAATAGTCATCTAACTTCTTTTCTTTCCCACTTATATTCAGGCTCTGTACTACAGCCAGAATAATACTTCTTTAATCATATCTTAATTTGGACTAGTAAAAATTCATCCAAACCCTTATTGAAATAAAGTTCAGATTTGTTAACATGATCTAAATAGCTAACATCTGTTATCTTAGCATCAGGTAACAAGCCCTGGTACCCAGTAAACAGACCTCAGTTTAATCCCGGGCACCCTATGTATAGGTTCTTTGAGCCCTGCCAGGAGTCATTCCTGATTGCATAGCCAAGAGTAACTCTGTGCACCATTGGGTGTGTCCCCAAACTCCCAAACAGTAATAATCATAAAATAAAAGAGGACTTTGATACTGAAATAATACAGGAAGTAAGGATTTGTCTTTCAAGCAACCAACCTTGTTTTGTTCCCTAATCTGTCTAGAATCACTAGGAAGTGACCCCTGAGCACAGAAATTGCAGTTGCCTCTGAGCACCACCCTGTGTAACAAAACCCCCTGCCTCCAATAGCTTTAACTTTAGCTACATTTTAACAGACTTCTTTTGAAAGTTACCTGAAAGTTCCTCTCTGGAGTGTGAGTACTAGATTCCTCTTAGCATTAATTTTAGCATTTTTCTACATTACATTTCATGGTCACGGTCCTCCGGTTGTTCATCGATTTGCTCGAGCGGGCCTAGTAAAGTCTCCATTGTGACAACTGTTACTGTGTTTTGGCAAATCCAATACATCACGGGTAGCTTGCCAGGCTTTGCCGTACGGGCAAGATACTCTCAGAAGCTTGCTGGGCTCTCCGAGAGGGGTGGAAGAATCAACTCCAGCCCACATTACATTTATTGCCTGCTTATTTTATAAAATAACCATTATTAGTTTTTGTCATGTTTTGGTGTTTTTTTTTATTTATTTTTTAGGAGGCTATATATTTCATGCTAAAAAGAGGCTCTTAAGAATTCTTAATTTTGAGGGCCATGGTGGTATGGAGTCAAGAGATAGAGGATGTGCCTTGCATGTGTGAGATTTGATCTCTAGTACTGAGAAAACAAAAAGACTTTTTCTTATATTGAAAACATAAAAATTTCGACATTACTAACAGCTGAAATGTCTCTTATGTTGTATGTACTTACTTTGAATTTACTCAGAATTAACCAAATTTTTATTTTTGTTTATGGTTCAGGAGTGACCTCATGTAGTGTCAGGGATTTGAGTTAGGGTTGACCGCATACATAACGAGTACCCTAACCCCTGTACTAACCAACCCTCAAATTTTATTTTTTTAAAAATTTTTATTTCTTAAATTTTAGTTTATTTTCATTTTTTAAATTTTTATTTATTTATTTATTTTTTATTAGTGAAACACCATGAGGTACAGTCAAATTTTATTTTTTAAATCTATTTTTTTTCTTGACTACAAGCATTGGATAACATCAGGTTATTGCATATTAATGTTTTAAAAATTATTATACACATGCTTTTAGCTAAATCAAGTAATTTAATGCTTTTGTTCACAGGATATTCTGAACAATCTTGAATCTTGTGACTTGGAAGATGATGACCTTATGCTTGATGTGGATCTGCCTGAGGATACACCTCTTGAAAATGGTAAGTAGGAGCAAAATTGAACTCTCAGCAGCATACAAATGAACTATATGACTGTAGTCAATTTGCTGCTTATTTTGTACAACCTTTTAACTGTACCAATATCAGTTGAGGAAGCCCTCATGGATGGAGAATCAGTCTTAAGTGATATCAGTAGTTTCATTTGAAACTTGTTTAAATGTTTAAACCTGACTTTGTAGGTCTTATATATATTCAGTAGTGTAGTATAGCTATACCATAAAGTTTTAACTGAAAGGGTGAGATTTTTTTTTTTAAACAGAGGTAACCTCTGGCAGGACAGAGGACCACTTGCAGCATGCTTGCAGGACCCGTGACCTATTGCTCAGACCTGGTGGTATTGGAGGTCTCTAGTGTTGCTTAAGGGTCCTTATAATGCAATTGATCGAACTCAGCTTCTCACAATATGCAAGAAATGATTTCCACCCCTATGAGTCATCGCTCAGGTCTCTGATTTGTTGTTTCATTTTTTTTTCTTGTGTACATATCCAATTGTTTCTTCCATTTATCTTATTTTAATTTTAGGAAGAATTGTGTTTAGAGAAACAAATATAACTTAACTTATGAATCAGTAGTAAGTCATTAAGTTGATAAATATTTTTGAAAGATCAATTCTGGAAAATGGTGACATTCTGAACCAATTATTCTATATTTTCTTACTTCTAGTTCCAATTTGTTTTCCTCCAAATCCTAGTAATTACTGGAGTGGTACTTCATATAATCCACATACAAGAGAGGCCTGAGCATTTTTTACTCCACTAATATAGAATTTGTAGTATTTTCTATTTTAAGAAGTGATTAAAACCCAGGGCTAGCCTAGGACTGCCCCTTGGGCTAGGTTGCAGTAGGGTTTCAGTGAGGGGTAGAACTTTGCACTGGAATAGTGGGAGCTTGCTTGTTGCTCATGTTTGTTATATTGGCCAAGCATTAATAATAAAATGTGCTGCCAGACAGCTATGTAAATCAGTGTCAGAATCTCTCTAGCTTTCAAAATAAACATTTATTTTTGTACTTAATGGATCTATGGATTATCTGGGATGACTAAAGTGTGGTGGGACTGAATTCAGGGCTCATATATTTCTTCATTTTGATATCTGAACTCTTTGGAGAGTTTACTCTCATGACTGATGTAAAAGAAAATCATATGACCAAGCCTAATACTGGTGAGAGTGTACACTCTCCATGATGAGAAGCTCTGGGGACATCGGGTGTATAGTTCTGTTAATGGGGTGAAGAATTGAAAATAATATCCACTCTGCTATAGTGGATGGGTTGGAGCGATAGCACAGTGGGTAGGGCGTTTGCCTTGCATGCGTCTGACCATGGTTTGATTCTTCCATTCCTTTCGGGGAGCCCAGCAAACTGCCGAGAGTATCATGTCTGCACGCAGAGCCTGTCAGGTTCCCCGTGGCATATTCAATATGCCCAAAATAGTAACAACCAGTCTCATAATGGAGATGTTACTGGTGCCTGCTCGAGCAAAATGACGAACAATGGGAGGACAGTGCTGCTACAGTGCTACTATTGTGGTAGAGACATGAGGACAGTGTTTCTGTCATTTGGGATATTTAAGGAACCAAACTTGAGTTTCAGTCAGTGAGAGAAAAAATCATAGGCAGTGCCCAAGAAGAACATGCCAACTAACAAAACTCCTTAGATCTGAATAGCACTGTAGCACTGTCCTCCCATTGCTCATTGATTTGCTCAAGTGGGCCCCCAGTAATGTCTCCATTGTGAGACTTGTTGTTACTGTGTTTGCCATATTGGATACGTCATGGGGAGCTTGCTAGGCTTTGACGTGCTGTCAAAATACTCTCGGTGGTTTGCCAGGCTCTACAAGAGGGGCAGGGAATCGAACCCGTGTCTGCCGGGTTCGCCGCGTACAAGGCAGACACCTTACCCACTGTGCTATACGCCAAAAAAAATGACATTAAGAGCACTTATGGAGAGTCAGTTTCAGCACAGTGCTTCCTGGAGATACGCAGTATTTTCCAGCACCAGTTTAGTAGATGTCAGAAACCATAGCTGTAGTTGAAGTCTGAAGTGACAAGGAAGATCTGCTGAAAGGTATTGTAGAACATACAGGAAAAATATAAACCATTGAAAATTATAGTGGAACAAAATGAGATTTAATGACCTGAGATTTAATGTGAAGTTTTAACGGCTAGATGAAGGATTTAGCTCCTTGAAATAAATCACACCCTACATAATGCATTTTACTTGAAGAGAATTTTAACAACTTATCGTTGGAAATCTTAAATCCTTTCTGAGCTAAAACAGGATGTAGAGATGGAGTCTGTCTGAGAGCATGCTTCATCTTTAGAATGCAGCAAAAACTAATGCATATATTAGATAAAAGTAGAATTAGTTTTAAATTAAAAATATTTGAGTTCCTGTTTTCCTCCGCCCCTCTCGGAGAGCCTGGCAAGCTACCGAGAGTATCTCGCCTGCACGACAAAGCCTGGCAAGCTACCCGTGACGTATTCGATATGCCAAACACAGTAACAACAAAGTCTCACAATGGAGACGTTACTGGGCCCGCTCGAGAAAATTGATAAACAGCAGGAGCACAGTGAGAGTGAATTCTTGTTTGGGAATTTGTGCAAAGTAGAAGGAAGGTTCTGGGGTATAACATCTCACATATATTATAGATTTTCCGAGAAAAAGGCCAATACTGTTTCAAGCTAGAGATATATTTTAAGACAGCAGATCATGGTTATAAACTTCATAATCTTCAGAGACACCAAAAATAAAATAGGATTATGTATATACCATCAGAAACTGAGGAATGACTATTATAGCTGTGGGATCCTGTGTTACTATATTTACCTCCTGAGGTTGTTTTTTTTTTTTGAGAGGATAGGAATATTATAAGTACTAGTACAAAGTTGAAAAATCTTCTAGTATGCTTAAAAATTTAAAGTATATTTTGTTGGTGACAAATTTGTTCTTAAAGGGCTATAATATATGTGTAACATATATTAGTTTTAGGTACATAACCTGGTAATTCAATATTTGAGTATATTGCAAAATGAATACCATAGTGTCTTATTAATAGCCCTGTAGCACTGTCGTCCCATTGTTCATTGATTTGCTCGAGCAGGCACCAGTAACGTCTCCATTGTGAGACTTGTTGTTCCTGTTTTTGGTATATCGAATATACCACGGGGAGCTTGCCAGGCCCTGCTGTGTGGGTGGGATACTCTCTGTAGCTTGCCAGGCTCTTTGAGCAGGATGGAGGAATCAAACCCGGGTCGGTCGTGTGCAAGGCAAATGTTTTATCTGCTCCAGCCCTTCTTACTAATATCACAATAACTAGCAGTATACTAATGCAATTTTTTTTTACTCAGTTGAAAACTTACTGAGGTGGACTCTTAGCAGCTTTCATATAAACGATGCAGCATTATTTATTGACTATGGCCACCATATTGTACATTTTATTTCTATGACTTGTTTCATAAATGGAAGTGTAACATACATATTATATATATATAAATTTTCTTTTTTTTTTTTTTTGGTTTTGATACATACCGAGTGGTGCTCAGTGGTTTCTCTTTGCTCTGCACTCAGAATTACTCCTGTTATTGCTCAGGGGACCATTATGGGATGGCAGGAATTAAACCTGGGTCAGGCACCTGGGTAAGGCAAACACTCTATGCTGTACTATTGTTCCAACCCCCAAAATGAATAATTGGTATTTTTGCTTTTTATTTATTTATTTATTTTGGCACACCTCTTGGTTCTCAGACTACTTCCAGTTCAGGGGTCATTAACAGCAGTGGTAGGGATTGAACCTGCTGCAGGCAAAGGAGGTCCTATTGAGCAATGTTTTGTACCACAGATATATAACCATTTAAACACATTCTCTGTGCTCTTCACACCTGCTGTATACTTTTGACTATTGGTTTTAGTCCCTTTTAGCTTCTAACTTTTTAGACTAAAATACAAATGTGGTAGAGGCTTGAATGGGTTATTCTGAACCTTAATAGATTCATCCGGACTAATTCTAACAATGGTAGTGAGATTGTTGTCAACATGAAGACTGTCGCCTCAGTAAGATCTTGAGTTTGGGATTTGGGCCTAGACTTGCCATGATTTTACTAGGAAAATATTTAAGTGCCAAATGCATTTATGTAGCAGATGATTATCTGTTTAGGTGACATCACAGAAGAGGATACTTCTTGTCATGTTCATTTAAGTTGGATAGAGAAAGGTGAAGAACATCAGTTTATTCTGAGTCTTATTTTCTCGTAGGGTTTTTTTTTTTTTTTTTTTTACTGAAACTGAAAGTCAAGCAGTGAAGCTCTTTACACTATCAATAACCAAATTTAAAAGGTGTCTCCCAAGATGGCAGGCTGGAATGGGGAATAGGAGAGGGAATGTGGGAATACTGGTGGAGGGAAGTTGATACTGGTAATGGGATTGGTGATGGAACACTGTCAAAAACACAACCATGGGGCTGGAAAGACAGCACAGTGGATAGGGCGTTTGCCTTGCATGCAGCCGACCCAGGTTTGATTCCCAGAATCCCATATGGTCCCCTGAGCACTGCCAGGAGTAACTCCTGAGTGCAGAGCCAGGAGTGACCCAAAAAGCAAAAAAAAAAAAAAAAATTAAATAAATAAAAATAAAACAAAACACAACTATGAATAACTTTGTAATTCACGGTACTTCAATAAAATAAAATTTTGAAAAAAGAAAACTAAAGTATTTCACAGGCAATAAGGATGGGTAAAGGATCACATCTACTTCAGGATATACTTCTGAATGCTTTCTCAAGGGTCTTAGCCTATCCTTGAAGCTGGCAGTTCATTTATCCTCTTTGCCTGAATAACTGGACTCAAAAATCAAGTCTCTGTTCTTACAAAAATATTTTGTTGATGTGATGATGATGAACATTCTAAGCCATAATACCTTGCAACTTTCATTTGTAATTTGGAATTGAAGGAAATGGCAGAGGCAGGAAAGCCATTATAACCCCTTGCTCCGCACTCTCATCTTTCCCTGCTGTACTAGGACATAAAATCTTCATGTGTCAGGTGCCCTCTCTTTACCTAAAGGATCTTCCTTATCTCTGAAGATAAGGGATGTCAAGAATCTGAAAAGTACAACTGTATTTCTTTATGTGTTCAGAAACTTCTAGTAATTTTCAGTCATTGTCCTCAGAATTTGGCATATTGATAATATAATCCTTAGGCTTAATCTTCTATATTGTATACCATCTTCAACATGCTGTTTACTCAAACTTTTCCCATTTGTAAAAGATCTTTCTAATTGTTCACTGAATCTCACTCTACCAAATTGTGGTGTGAATCAAGGTACACTGCTTCATGCTATTTTTTAAAAGTCATGGTTTCACAATTTTTTTAATTAATATGCAATCCCATGATATTATAGAATTATGCTTGAGTATTGTAGTTTCTTCTGGAAATGATTTTTTCAGTACTAGTTGGGTTTAGTAATAACAAGTTTCATAGTTTTTTGCATGACCTTCCTCCCCTCCTCTCCCCTCCCCTCTCCACCCCACCCCTTCCTCTCCCTCCCTTTCACCTCTCTCCCCTCCCCTCCCCTCCCTTCCCCTCCCTTTTCTTTCCTTCCCCTCCCACTCCTTGCCTCCTCCCTCCCTGCCTGCCTCTCTCCCTCCCTCTTCAACATGCTATTTACTTAGTTTTTTTACTCAATCTCCCTCCCTCCCTCTCCTCTTGGACCCTTCTCTTCCCTCCCTCGCTCCTCCATCCCTTCCTTCCTTTCTTGGCTAGAAATCATAAAGAGGCAGCATAGAGCTAGAATGGAGTTTTCCTGAAAGGAGCTTTTGCTGAGCAAAGTGGACAAAATCCAAATTGACTCCTTCAGACAATTCCATTGAGTCTTTCATAATCATCTTTGATTTTATGCAAAGCAGAGGGAGATTTAATTATGAATTTCTGAGGAAAGGAGGAATTTTAAAAAGAGCTGTGTAAGGATCTAAAAGAACAGTGTTCTTTTACACAGGGGTTGTAGTAGCAGTTGTAAACTATTTTAGCTTGGGTAGTTGTGTCACTTACCATGCCAGTATGTCACAGTTAGGGTATAATGAAGTAAAGTGGGTTGTCTAGGGTAGAGAAGGGTTGGCAGGTGGTTGTCTCTGGATGCCATCTTGGATACTGCTGGTATAGATAGGTGTGAAAACCACATCCTGGGATACATTGCATATATCAGCTACGTGGTGAAGAACTGATGCAAGGCCACATCTTCCCAGCTACGTGGTCCATATCTCTGTAGTGTCCGTGATCTTTAGCAAACACAAGAACAGCTCCTTTGTGTCTGCACTGACATTTCTTGAGCAGTATTTAGCATGTAGTATTTATTCAATATTGTTTGCAATACTGTCTCTTTCATCTTGCTATCCAGCGTGCCCTGTGTTCGTGATATCCTAATTACATGTCAGACTCTCATGGCAGAGTTTATTTTAAGGAGAGTAAATAGTATTTTGCCTGCCTTGAATTAAGAAATTATTATGTATTCTGAGCACTTAAAAGTATAGATTATCCTATAGCTATGTAGAATTGCTTAAACTAAAACATTTTAATGTCACGTAGAAATATTTTTTAAGAACTTAAACACATCTATCAGTGTATTGCATATGTGAACTGATAGGAATATTAATTTTTAAATTTACTTCTGCAGTCTCACTTTCTATTGCTGTCTTTGGCATAATGGTCACCATGCCTTTACTTGCCTAATGAGTTTTCTATAATTGTACTTAAGAAAAGCAGACCTTAATTTATCCCAAGAAATGACAAGAAATTGTTTGAAATACAAACGCACAGTTTTAATATTTTTCTTTAAAAATATATAAAATGTATAATTTTTCCAAAATTCATTTATCCAATGAACATAAAATATATTTGTGTTTTTATCATCTATTTAATTATGCATTTTGAAGAAATCCATTATAACAAATTCATTGTAAAGGATAACTGCATTTTATTCTAGCCATTTATTTTTGGGAGTGAGAAGTTTGTTTTTATCTCACACACTGTAGTAAAACACTATTTCAAATTAGGTTTTAGTCCATATGAAAGCTGTCATTTAAATCACGGGTTTTAAAATTCAACTGGGTAAATTACACGGATCTCTAAAGTTTTATTATAAGTAGTGCGGGCTATGCTGGATTTTCACTTTCTTAAGCAGTAATTCTCGGACTGGCGAAAGCTTTCTCTTCTGACTTGGATTGGTGTTTAGTTGTATTTTTAGTAACAGTTCTAAGTCAGTAGCTATGTAAGCACTGAGGGAAGATGGAGTCACAGGGTAAACTGGGCTTGCTTCCCACAGGGAGGGCTGGGAGTTGAGCAGGAAGGAAGGCTTGTTTGTCAGCGCCTTGTATGCAACTATGTCTGAGTAGGCAGCCAGCGACACAATGTCTTCCTTGTACAAAGTAACTCTCTTAGTGAGTGCTCAGATATGTGAGGAAAAAGTGTTTGGGTAAGTGAAAGAGAAGCCTGGGGTATTTCAAAGAGATTCTTTTCCTGTTTTTTGTGGCATTTGGATTTTAGGGAGTGTACTATTTGTTGCTGCAAAGTACTGGCTTTGTTTTCAGTGGCATTTTAGACTTTTTGAACAAGCAGACAGATTGAAGCTTTTACCTTCTAACTGTGAGCTTAGTTTAAAGCTACGGCTTGTGATGGAAGTTAATTAGTGCTTCTTGAAATCAGTGGAAATTAATTGTGGCATTCAGTTTTTAGGAGCGAGTGAGTTCTCTACTCGACGCAAACCTTCCAAACCTACTTCTGATCATTTTCATTCTGAAATTAGGACCTGTTTTCAGTTAGCACTAATGTAGGAAACTGCTTAAAACTGATCAGAGAAGTGCTTGAAAGGTATAACGTTGATTTTAAGAATAAGTCCCTTGTTTTAAAACAATGGGGCTGTTAATTATTACTGAAGTGTCTGTGTTGTGAAAGTTTGAGTAAAAGAAGTTCCATTTTCACTGCAGGATCTCCTAGAAATCATAGTTTTACGAGTGAACATAAATGGCTGGAAATTTTGAATAGGTCTTTTATGTGTTTAGCAGCTTTTAATTATTGAGCTCTAAGTAGTTAACTTTTTAACAGAATGAGTACTTACTGGCAGTGTTTTTGCTTTTGAATCTGTCTAGTGGAGTGTGACAATATGAACCGCTTTGACCGATCAGACAGAAATGTTCGACAGTCTCAGGAAGGATTTTGGAAAAGGCCGCCCCAGAGGTGGAGTGGGCAGGAACATTACCACCTCAGCCATCCCGACCACTATCATCACCATGGGAAAAGTGACCTGAGCCGGTGAGTGCAATTCGGTTTCTATTTTTTTGCCCTTTAATTTTGAATCATAATTCCTCTCCTAAAGTGCTTTTTAGGCTGGTTTTCTGAGACACCAAAGAAAAATTTAAATTATATGTGTTACTGATTGAAATTGCCTGTTTAAGTTTTTCCTTTGGCCTAAATTCTATTTAAAAAAAATTCACTCTTAAAGTACTTTCCTTATGACTTTTGTTTTAGTATGATTTCCCATTTTTCATTTGATAATTATTAAATGTTGACTTTTTGAATGTTTATTACTTAAAAATAACAAGTAAAAGTAAATGTTAAAAATAGAGGGTACTATACAGTGCTAGAATTTTTTCTTTTTTCTGACTTTTTAAAGCATCCCATTCTTTTTCATTTCAACAGATGCCTTGAGTTACGTAGTTCTATAGTGTTTAAACCTGAGGGCAAAACTGGCTTGTCATAAATTAGCTTTATATTTTAATGTGAGCTTAGATGATTTATTTTTTTCTTTCTAATTTAGTTTTCCACTGTGAAACATTGTTGAGAATAATAGATCTCTCAGTTTTAAAGAATCAGAAATGAAAGTGTCTGAAGTCATAACTGGCTCACGTATAGCAGGCACCCTGTGGTGATAGTTGTTATTTGTTTGTTTTTCCTCTTGTTATTCCACTACGATTTGAGGTCATTGGAGCATATTTTCAACATAGACAATAAAGTTGGAATAAAGAAATAATGGGAGAAATATGATCCCATTTAGCTAAATAAGGAAAAAATAAAGAATTCCTATAATTCCTTTTAGAAGGACTAGAGAGATGATGCAGTGGGCAGGGCATTTGCCTGGCAGGCAACCACTCTGGGTTGATCTCCGGCATCCTCTAAGCACTTCTAGGAGTGATCTCTGAGCACAGAGCCAGGAGTAAGCCCTGAACATTGCCAGTTGTGGTCCCAAACAAAAAACAAAACAAACAAAAAATTCCTTGCAGCAGAAACAGTACACAAAGCTTGAAGTGGATCAAGTTTTACACGATAATCTTTCCCTTGAATTGATTTGCATTTATGAGATAGAAATCTGAAAGTGGTTGGTATGCATGAATTCTGACAAGAAAAATTATTTGTATTATAGATAGGTCACAGACAGCTTCCCAAAGTAGAAATAATGACAGATTTCTTAAGTCTTATTTTTGTCTTAAGTGCAAAGAATTTTAGCTCAAGTAAGAAAAAAATGATTCTGCAGTAGATCACAAATAAAGGTGATTCTGTGATATAATTTTATGAAAGGATAGAATTAAAAGAATACACAGAATACATGTCCTTCCATTGTTTTTTCTGTTTCTCATATCTTGGCATTTGAGAAGGAATGAACATCAGTTGAAACAATGTGGCAAGAGTCTAATATAAAGATAGCCTTTATAATATTGAAGATTTTGCTTCCCCTGCATCTTGATGGTTGGCTTATGTGAATGTAAATTTAAGGCCAATTTAAGAAAATTTAAAAAATAAAATAAAAATAGCCTATTATTAAAATGTATGTTCTTTTACATTTTATTTTTCCCCTGTCCATTATTTATTTATTTTTAAAAATTTTTAAATTTTTATTTATTTATTTTTGTTGAATCACTGTGGGAAAAGTTACAAAGCTTTCAGGTTTAAGTCTCGGTCATGCAAATATCAAACACATTTCCCTTTACCAATACTTATTTTTGACCACGAAGAACCCCAATAACCCCCCCACCACCAACCCTCCCAGTGCCTGTGAGGCAGATGAATTCTAGTTAACACTCTATCTACTTTGATTAGATTCATTGTTTCGACAAAAGATGCACCATTAGGGGCTGGAGCGATAGCACAGTGGGTAGGGCGTTTGCGTTGCACGCGGCTGACCCGGGTTCGATTCCCAGCATCCCATATGGTCCCCTGAGCACTGCCAGGGGTAATTCCTGAGTGCAGAGCCAGGAGTAACCCCTGTGCATCGCTGGGTGTGACCCAAAAAGAAAAAAAAGATGCACCATTATTATTTAGAGTTTACACCCCAAAATCAGATATGCTGAAAAGGCATTGTGAAGTAATTTGTTTTCTACAGCTGGTCACAAGAATTAAATAATTTGGATTTCTGGTATTTTACTTATTAAGCCTAGAAGTATTTCTGCTGACAGTCAGATAATTATGAGATTGGTTTCTGTGCTCTGGAGCCATTGCCATGCCGGAGATCCACTCGTGGGGGCAACTCGTGACCTCGGTAGGGCGTGAAGGATGAGCCGGGAACACCCCCCTTCCCCTGAGGTTTCAGTCGCCCCATCACGACCAGCTCATACCTGGCTTTCCATAAAGCTCCGGAGCAGCTGCCATCTTTCTTTCCAGAGGGAAAAAGTGTTCTTTTACATTTTAAAGAATGAAATCTTTCAGATACTATTTTTTTTTACGATTCTTTGAGGTCCTGTATGTTGAACCATGTGGCAGATTCTCAAGATGGGATGAGTTTGTGAGAGGTGTTGAGGTCTGTGTATTGTAGTGAAGCCCGAGATTATTACTTGAGGACAGTAAAAAGGATTATAAGGTGTATCACTCAGTAGAACCATTAACATTACCATTTAACATTGAAATCACCAAGTTCCTTTCATTTCATATAATGGTGAACAGTTGATATTTCCTGCTGCCAGCAAGCCCTAGTCTTAGGGAAAAAAAGGAATGTACCTAGTTGTAATTCATCGGTGCAGTGCAGTGATGGTAAGATGTCTCATTGGAATGATATATATTGGACTCCAGGAGATGCTGACTTTTTTGTCTAGGATAGTAGTATGTAAGGCAAGTTACTATTTAACTGAAAAGTGAACTGCAGAAATTCAGAAGCGTGGAGTCTATACTAGAAAGATAAGTATTTGTTCAGAAGTTACAAAACTAAGCATGAAGTAGAATGGCATTGTCAGAGAAGTATTCCATGTTTGTAACTTGGCTTGCTGGTTTGGAGAAATGACTAACTATAACTAAAAATTCAAGAGAGCAAAGCTACTTATGGGTTTTAAAATAAAGGGTCTCTATTTTCAGGCTAAATTGAGACCGTTAACCAGATTGTTCAAAGTGAATGAACAGTATAGAGGAAATTATTTCTATTCCTTATGATGATCAAGCTGAGACTGATTAGATCTGTTGGAATCTGTATTGATGTCAGTAGGGATCTCTGATCAGATGTGTATGGAAATGAACAAGTTAACTGAGATTTTATTTTTCAATACTGGACTGCATAGTATCTTCAATGTTTTAAGATAAATATAACATTATGATCTTGTAGAATATGCAAAAATAGAATTTGTAGCCATTTCTTAAAACATTTTTGGGTCAGAGATAATTCAAAGATACAAGTGCATGTTTGTTATGGAGGAGGTCCTGGTTCAATTCCCAGTGTATAATGATCCCCTGAGCACTGCTTAGTGTGACTCAAAACTGGGCTAAAAACTAAAAACAACCATATATCTCTCTGTATCGTTTATTTTGAGATACTAATTATTTGTGAATACTTCACACTGGTGATTATCAATGAGGCGAAAGAAATATGGAATATTCTTAGGGATTGCTAATCTAATTCACTTCCCAATAAGTAGACTGAAGCATGCCAGTTTGTAATGAATAAATATAAGTTTACCATATATTTATCCACACAGTCTTTAGGGAGGGTGTTGGAAAGCTGTATCCCCCAGAGCCAGTGATTGGGATTGGGTGGTAAAAAGGAAACTTTCTTTAAAACAAGTCTTAACCTGCAGCTCTGAAAACATTATTTTTCTCTCTAAGTATTGCTTTAGTAAGAAAATTGCACTAAAACTAAGATTTGTTGTGTTGCTCTTTGTTGTTGTTTTTTGTTGTTTTGGACAATACCCTGAGCAGTGCTCAGAGCTTAATACTTTGCTTAGTGCTTGGGGGGGTTACTCCTGGTAGAACTCAGGGAACCTGTCGTGCTGGGGATCAAATTCGATTTTCATGCATGCATAGCATGTAGTTCGGCCCTTTGAGCTCTCTGACTCCAAATTGGGCCTATTAAAAACATTACACGTGTAAAAGCTTCTCTTTGCATTCTATAACTTATTGGGGAGGGCTCTCAAGCTGTGCTTAGTGCACAGGGAGCTCTGGGAACACTCATGGGGACACTTGGCCAGTTTGTGCTAGACAGTTGAATGGATCCAGTATTGCTGGGGACCTGCCAGAGCAATACGATGCCAGGGATTGAACTCCGGTCCCTGTGAACATAAGATTGAAGTCCTGACCATCGAGCCATCTCCCTGGCTCTCCATTCTGTAGATTAGTTGCTGTTTCCTTTTCCCTTCTCTCCTTCGATTCTAATTGCTGCTAGAGTTAATTACAGGATTATGATTTATCCAAAACTCATTGGACACAAGCACTCATGTATTTTTGTCATATCGTTTCAGCATTGTGCTTTGTTTTCACCTGACCTCGTTTTCTTCAGCCTTTCCTTTTTCTTCTCTTCTTAGTTTTTCCCTATACCTTCCACTAAGCTAGAGTTTTCAACCTTTTTACACCACAGTGTAACATTGGTTTGCAGAGACTGGTACTACAAAATTGTATCATAGGTAATTGTTCGTGTCCTTGATCTCTTTTCCCACTTCTCCTTATAACTGACACCTAACTCTTCCTTAGATGCCCTAATACCCTGGTAATCTTAAAAAAATTTTTTTATTAAACTTAATTAAATTAAAAAGTTATTGTGATTTGCATAGTTTACTCAGAGTTAAATTTTAGGAGGACAATGTTCCAACAGCAATCCCATCACCAGTGTCAACTTCCCTCAACTAGTGTCCCCAAGTTCCTCCTACTCTCCAGCCTGCCTCATTGGCATACACGCTTTTACATTTATTTATCGTAGTTTTTATCTTATACTTGCAGTATGGTTTATATGGGGCTGGAGCAATAGCACAGCGGGTAGGGCGTTTGCCTTACACGCAGCTAACATGGCCGACCCGAGTTCGATTCCTCTGCCCCTCTCGGAGAGTCCAGCAAGCTACCGAGAG